CACAAATTGAATCACTCATTCCAGCATCTCTTTACTTTGCATTGTGATTTATACAATGCAAACAAAAGCAACATGGCAAATGCAACATTGTCTTATAGTGTAAACTAGGCATATATAAAAGACTCCTTTTTTAACTCTGCCTTTGCTTATGCTCCAAATCTGCCTTTGCTTATGCCCCCCGTACTCCCCTGAACATCAGCATTCAGGTTGGGAAACAAGGGCTGGTACTGTGAGCCAATTATACTTTGCTGCAACGTGCTGTGTAGCTAATAAATGGAGCTTACTGATTGAAAGAAAGAGTGCATGACTTTCTAAAAGCCATAAAAGCAGTCACCCATATGAAAAACCCATTGCAAGGAGTGCCATTATAGTATATGGAAATTCCCATCTTCAAGATGGCACATAAGCTGTGGTTTTATTGGGTAGGCTGCACAGCTGCAAAATTGGCTTTATACAACTAGTTGATCTTGTGGGAATAAGTGCAAAGATGGACTTATAAAGTGAAATGTTTTCTAAACCTATCCCACACCTCCTCCAAATGCAAAAATGTGGAACAAGAAATAGACTAACAAACCCCAAGGATGACTTTTTTTAGATATACATTTTTGTGCCTCTGTTAATAAAGAAAAATATTATATCACCACTCTGCTACAGATAGCTGAATCACCTTTCATCATTTAGGAGTTATTCTCAAGATGACCAACATTCTTGATAACCTGGCACTAAATCACAGACCCGACCTAAGCAATTGCTTAGAGTGACAGAATGTAACCAATTCTGTCACCATGGCTCAGAGGGTATGATGGAGATTACATAGTATTTGGGGTTGAATATAGACATACGTCCATCAAGTCCAACCCATATAGGTCCACGCATCATCTCATTCTTAGGGATACTGGTATCCCTAAGATGGAACAGCTCCTCTCCTTTTTTATTCCCATAGAGGGTGCCTGACAGCACAGTACTTTCCTCAGTTCATGCCTCTTTTGCTAATAAGTTATCCTCCTAGTGTCATGTCACTATATCACATATTACCAATGAAAGCCTCTCCGGCAATCCTACTCTCTAGGCTGCATCTTTTGAAATTACAAGGGGAGCCGGAAAAGGTGATCTGATTTTAGAAGACAATTTTTTGGTACTCTCACAATTTATTTTGAAAAATGAAGTCTTTTATTACAAGTACCAGGAGTTCTCTGTTGTACTGTGTACCGTGTCACTCTGTTCAGTTGTCACAAGTTTAGAGAATACCTGGTACTTCCAGGTAATGACGAGCATGTGAATCATTCTTCGTTTTCTCATTTGACAGCACTGGTACTTGCTGATTGGTCCAGTGCTGTCAACCAGGGCTTTTCTTCCTCACTCCCAGTGGCGTAACAGAGTGTTAGGGAAAGGAAGGAAAGTTGAGTATGTGCAGCTGTGGAGGAAGCATTAAAGTAAGCCTGTTGCGTTGCCCTGCATAAGAAAATCACAATTTTGCTCATAGTGTACAACACATTCCCACATTTAGAAGTGCACAGAAGTGCTCAGTAATTGTTGTGTTGCAAATAGCAAATCCTTTTTAAACCTACAAACCAATATAGTATACATACACCAAAAGAGTGTACCCATACATTTTCCTTCTCTTTATTCAATGTCCAATTATAACTTTTAACTTGGGCAAAGTCAAAAGTTAAACCATTCCCCTCTCACTACAATCACTTCCCGTGCTGATGATGCAGACAGATCCTATTCTGTAGCTAGATAGTGTCACCTATACCATTTTTCCTTGTTATTTGATAGTATAACAGTGCCATCATAGACCACGTGCATGATACTAAAAACCTGTGTCAACAGCCTTTGGGCTTGTGTCAATGGCATCAGTTTGACATTAATCTGAGATGCTTTTGAGATCATTCAGAATTTATTCACAGGTAAGTTTGATCTAGAGTTAACTTCCTGATTTAATGTGTAGCAAGTAAGTTGCGCTCGGTCAAAATATAAGTGGATTTTGAAATACGATACAATAATCTCTCAAAACAAATGGAAAGATTACGTGCAGATAACGGGAATCAAATATCTCAACTAGTGACCGTAAATTAATTGTTAAAAAGGTATGTGAACGTGTCAATCACAGCCCGGTGTTAATTGAGTGTTTATATATGCATAGTGAGCTTGACATAATCCTTCCTTCCTGATTCGCATTTCACCTGCTTCAAATGGGCTTTGCATTCTCATATACTTGTAGGGGAATGCTAAACGTATGACACACACAAAAGCACAGGCCCTAATTAAGTAACAGAGGGCATATTAGTGAATTAAAGTAGTATTAAGGTCATTAGGGTAAAAACAGCCCAGCACCTTTTTTCTACCCCAGCCCCCCCCC